CCAAATACTTAGGTAATACAAATTGGTGGCACATGTCTTTAATCCCTTTGGAGGCCGAGGCAGGTGGATCTGAGTTTGAGTCCAGCCTAATCTACAGAGTGAGTTCCAGGACAGCCAGAGCAACAGAAAGAAATCCCATTTCAAAACAGTCCCCCCACCCTACCCCGCAAAAAAATAAATAAATAAATAAATAAAAATTGTGCTATTGGGCTGGAGGAATAGTTTAATGTCTGAGAGTATTAGCTGCCCTTCCAGAGGATCCAGGTTTGAACCTCAGCACCTAAATAGCAGCTCACAACAGTCTGTAATTCTGGTCCCTGGAGATCTGATGTCCTCTTCTGGATTCCAAGAGCACAGCACACACATGATACACAGACATATATGCAAGCAACACATTTTTAAAAATGGTGCTCTATAAACATTAAAAGAGATATTGTAAAGATATGCAAAATACAATAATAAAGATAGACATGGTTAATACTTACAGTACAGCATATATAAACCAAATACACAAAGCATGGTAGCACCTTCTTTAGTCCCAGCATTCATTCAGTCAACAGAGGCAGGTGGACCTCTGTGAATTTAAGGTCAGCCTGTTCTACATAGTTAATTCCAGGACAGCCAGAGCTACACTGTTAAGACCTATCTCAAAAATAAAACTTTAACAATCACAAAAACTGAATGCACAACAAAAGAAATACAACTTACCCTAATGCAGCTGAAACAACAAAGCTTGGAGCAATGAGGACACAGTCGAGCATCCCGCAGTTTCTCCATACAAATGAAACATCGGAAAACCTCAGCAATGCTCTGAAAACAAAAGATTCATGTAAGGTTCCCAGATTACAATAAATCAAGAGCAAAGAGCACAATAAAAAGACTTCAATCAACGCCCGACACAGTGGTGCACAACTTTAATCCCAGCATTCAGGAGGCAGTGACAGATAGATCTCTGCCAGTCTGGACTAGACATAGTGAGTTCCACACAGCCCTTGGTTACTCAGTGAGACCGCCTCAAGGCAAAGAAGAGAAGGAAAAGAAAAAACAATTTACACAGCATTTACACCTACTTGGCTGATAATGCCTCAGTTTTAACTACAATCCCTGTAAGAATTTTGGTTATTTTTTTTTTAAAGAAACCTAAAAATACTGTTATAGTTACTTTATATTTTAAATCTTTTTTTCACAGTACAACGTTTGTTTTTACTCTATCCCAGAAAAATTAAACCCTCCTGAAACCAAGAAAAGTTTGCAAAACCTCTATACAACTTTCACAAAAGCAGTTAAGTACAAAATTACACATGATTCTAATCATGACTGAAAGCCAGAACCTGAGAGATGTAGACTCTAACTGGATCTGGGAAGACAGTAAGACCATTGGGTGAGCCGGGGTAACCTTAAGTACAGGTCTCAGTAAGTCACCTCTTTTTTTTTTCTTCGAGATAGAGTTTCTCTGTGTAGCCTTAGCTGTCCTTGACTGTTATGGAACTCAGTCTGTAGACCAGGCTGGCCTCGAACTCAGAGATCCGCTTGCCTCTACTGGGATTAAAGGTGTGCACCAACGCCAAACCCCCTTACTTTTTAAAAGAAAAACTATATAGTATTTTCGTGTCTAAGCTTTAAATTTTAACTATTACTACATAACATATTGGATCCCCCAAAAAGCAATCATTTTAGATGCTTCTAGCCCTTATGGAAATATCCCAACCATGAAGTCATCATACAAGAATCAATGCTGGAAACCGGTCTTTAAGACAGTAGAGAATGAGAAAGGTGTGTGTACTACAAAATGTACAGCTGAGGGTGGGAAAAAAAATGTTTAATCATTCCGAGCAAGTCGTGGCGAGAAAGCAGGGCAAGTCCTTCCTATGAATTTGCAATTTTTTTCTGGAAAAGCAAACGGGACCAGCAGAGCGGCCAAAGCATCGCTGCAAACGCGCAGCACCTGACTGCGGAACAGCTTCAGCACCTGGCACCCTGAGGGCAGCAGAGCACAGGGCCAGCCAGCCTCCCTCCCAGCGACCTCCCACAGGGAAGCGAGAGCATGGCGCCCCGGTTAGAAAAGGTTCCCCGAGGGCGGGGAGCCCAGCCGCCACCCTCCGCAACGCCCCTCACCTCCACACTCTGCTCGTCCATTGCCTCCGGCTCCCGGCGGGGCCCGCGGCGACCCTCGGAGTCCGTGGTCTGCGCTGTCAGCCGCCGGCCCGAGGTCGCCAGGTCAACTGCGCCCACCTCAGCAGGCTCCCACAACAGTGCCACCTCCGTGCCCCATCCCGTCAGGTTCCACGCCGGCTACCCCCCATTTCGCCATTTTTATCCGCGCGCCAGCCCGGGGGGGGGGGAGAGGGAGGGCTAGCGGTGGCCGCAGCGCCTTCCTCCCGCCTCAGACGCCGGCCAGCGTCCGCGTGGGAGCCTCGCCCACGTGACGGCGGCGCGCGCGTGTGTGGAACCGCCGCGGGCCGAGTCCGCGGCAAAACCGGCGCTGCACAGAATTCGCAAACACCAACGGTAACCAGGGCAGCTAGAGGCGCGGCAGCCGGGCAAGCGCGGCGCGCACGCGCACTCGGCAGGGCGGGAGGAGGGGCGGGGCGGGAGAGGCGGGCACCGGGTTCCCGCGGTGCGTGCCGCACACGAGACTTGGGGAGGCGGTGCTGCAGAAAGACGAGACTGGCGTCGGCGCGGTGCCCCTACTCTCTCACATTTTTTACCGCCCGAGAGGCTGCAGCCACCTTGTGTGGGGGCGGCCCTTAGTTAGAAGCCACGCCCCCAAGTATTAGGGACCAGATTTTTTTTTTTTTTTTTTTTTGCACCCTCTGTGCTGACCCCGGTGGTCTGTGGCTCGCTTTTAGGAAACCGTGGAGCCCCTGATTCGTGGTTAGGGTATTTGTTCCGCCACTGAAAGGAAATGAAAACTTTTTTTAAGACTTCGTTTTCCCTACCATACTAAATTCAATACGAAAGTTCCAATTGAGATGGACAGGCCATTTCTTTTGTTTTGGCTCATTGTTATTTCGAGACAGGATCTCTGTAGTTCATGTTAGATTGGATATAGTCTCGAAGCTTCCTGAGTGTCAAGATTGCTACCAAGCCTGCTACTGATTTTGGTGAGATAAGTGGACCCACATAACACCCTCTACTTTCTTGCTGCTTGAGTTTTCATGCTACTGGGGATTAACAAAAAACAAAAACAAAACTGTATAACTGTATTCATCTTTCCTAGGCGATTCCTTCTAATTTCTTGCCCTAACAGATTGAAGAAACTAAGGATGTGTGAGACAATAGACGTAGGTCTATTAAGTTAAAAATTAAATCTTAAATCATTACAAACTTATTTATAAACTCCAACCTAGAGAATTAATAATCTAGAAATAAACTTTAGTGGTTAGCAACAATTTAAAGATGTCTTATGTATATGATGGTCTATCTGCATGTACACCTGCATGCCAGAAGAGGGCATCAGATCTCAGTATAGATGGCAGTGAACCACCATAGGAATTGAACTCAGGACCTCTTGAAGAGCAGCCAATGCTCTAAGCTGCTAAGCCATCTCTCCAGCCCCAGAAACATTTTTTTTAAATTACATGAACCATAAACAAGATTTATGGAGGCTAAACACATTAAGAGCATTTGCTGCTCTTTCAGGAGACCAGTTTCTAATACCACCTTTGAAATCGAAGTCTGTAACACCAGCTCCAGGCGATCAGACATGTTCTTCTGGCCATCTCAGATACCAGAAATTATGTGCACACATATATGTGAACATAAGCCAAAATAATCTTACGAACACTCTGTTTAAGAAAATTAAGCAGAGGTTTAAAATGGTTTCACTTCAAATCATGTATGGGCTTGGAGCTAGATACAGGTTGATAACTGCACAATTGTGTTAACATGTCCTCAATTGTACCTTTTTGCTTTTCTCATGTAGGGTCTCCTGTGACTTGCTTTGTAGCAGACACTGGCTTTGAACTCCTGCCTCTACCTCCTGGGTGCTGGAATATTACAAAGGTGTGCCACCACATTCCATCTACACTTTAAAATTATTTTGTTGTGTAGATTATACCTAAAAAATTGGGGGGGGGGCTGGTGTGGTGGGGCATGCCTTTAGCCTTTAATCATGGCCTTTAATGACTAGGCAGAAACAGGCAGATCTTTAGGAGTTCAAGACTAGCCTAGGCTACGTAGTGAGTTCCAAACCAGCCAAGGCTACGTATCCAAACTCAAATTCAATCAAATAGAAATTGATTGTGGCACTTTGAGATTCTCAACAATATAGAAATCCTTGCCCTCAAATATAACAGATGACAACACTACAGGATACACATTAAAAACAGGTTATAGTATATTTGCATACCACCACAAAATGTTTGTGGAACTAGTTATCAAGCCAATTTGTAATAATAAAAAAATTTAGGGAAATCTGCAACTAGTTATGGGTCTTTGATTCCAAGTAAAGTCAGACTGTGGTTAATGTGGGCAAAAAAGAAATTGGTAGTTAGCCAAGTTAAGATCCTTTGACAGAACCTGGGTTAGGAAGTCTGCTAGCACTTGAAAGCTTGAAGCAGGCATTTCTAGGATTCATGCCACTCTAGTCTACATAGTGAACTCCCGGGCTAGCCAAAGCTACATGTTGAGACCTGTCTCAAAAGAGCAAATAACACTAAATAATTATAGTATATAATTATAAGTATAGTACATAGTATATAAGTATAGTATTTTGCCCATTCACATACTGACTGACATGTACATAAATATTCTTTTACAAAATCCCAAAACTTCTAAAATTATCTGAACTACACAAAAAGAAGACAGATTAGCCGGGCATTGGTGGTGCACGCCTTTAGTCCCAGCACTCAGGACGAAGAGGCAGGCAGATCTCTGTGAGTTCAAGTTCAACCTGGTCTACAGAACAGGACAAACTCCAAAGCTACAGAGAAACCCTGTTTGGGTGGGTGGGGGGGGATTAGATAATACTAAGGGATATCATTACCAAAAACCACAAATTAACATGTATTTAAATTTCTTTATTCCCATGTCATCCTTCTTGGCTTTTGATCATATGATATATACCCTTCTTGTAATTTCTTGATATTAAAAGGTCATGATCAAGGAAAATCTCAAATGTTTTTAGCAGCTTCCAATCCCTTGATGGATTAATGACATCAATAGGACATCACGCTGAATGTCTTTTGAATTGATCTTTGCTCCATTAGAGTTCCTTTTTAAAATTCCATGTCTTTATAAGTCCGGCATGTGAGATTTTAACTGCTCTGTCACAGCTTTCTCTTCTTCAGTCAGAAGAGTTAACTAGAAAACAAATTACAAAATGTTTATTGGAAAAAACCTTCAGTTGTTAAATGAGTTAAATTTTGCTTTGTTGCATGAATGTTTTTGTAAGCTTATACTATACATTTAATAAGACTTGAAAGGCAAGGGAAAACAAAGCTATTTGGCTACGTATATACCATGATTGAGCTTTCAAAGAACTTGCAATTAGACTATTAAACAAGATCAAGCTATCAAACAAAGTGAGCTGGAAAGATGGCTCTGCAGTTAAGAGCTCTGACTGCTCTTCGAGAAGTTCAGGATCAATTCCCAGCAACCACACAGCAGCTCAGTCTGGAGCTCCAGTCCCAGGGATCTGACACACTCACCCAGGCATACATGAAATCAAAACACCAAGGCACATAAAATAAAAACAAATAATTATCTTTTTAAAGGACTATTGTTTAACAGAACTAAATTAATGTTTACATACCATATTGGAAAAGAGATTTGGACCAAAACAGTATCACATTTTTCCCATATAAATAAGTTTGTGCTAGATTTTGAAGATCTCATCTCAAAAAACATTTTAAAAAATAACTAAGACAGGTGGTGGCAGCAGCAGGAGGATCTCTGAGTTTGAGGCCAGCATGGTCTACAGAGTGAATTCCAGGACAGCCAGGAATATGCAGAGAAACCCTATCTCAGGGAATTAAAAAAAAAAAAAAAAAAAGGAAAGGAAGAAAATAAAGCAAGCACTCTAATAGCCAATAAAAACAGATAATGAGAAACATAAGTTAACTATTTACTCAAAGCAGGTGGGAGCAAGAGCCAAAACAAAAGGGAATAAAATTAACAATAAAGGATTTTCACAGAACAACAACAGGTTGGCTAAGAACAGGGTTATATGGGAAAATAACACAAGCTATAGCTCAAACCTCTGAAATAGTTACAAATCGGCCCAATTATATAGGTCATCTCTAGAGAGACTGCCAAATGTGGAACATGATAGAACTACAGAATCAGCATCTCCAGGGTGGCACTGTCCAAAAAAAATTTCCATGATGCTGGAAAGAATCTGTGTCTGCACTGTTGGAACAGAAGATAAAGAACTGAATTTTCAGTTTTATGTAATCATGCTTAAATTTATATAGCCACATGTGGCTCCTATTGGATAGCCTCGTTCTCCAACATTTCAGAACCCCATTACTCTATACAGCTGGTTTGACACATCAGCACTGGCCCAACATGTTCATATGTATAAATTATAAGCACTTACTCTGCAACCCAAACATTTGCAGAACTTGTCTGCTTCAAATAAGGGAATGATATTAATGTGGCAAAACATATTCTCAATAAATCCTTTATTCCTAAGATTACTAGGGAAGAATTCTCAGGCCATAAATTTTAATAACTCCTCAAAGGCTTTTTCCCAGGGGGCTGGAGAGATGGCTTAAGGGTAAAAGCACTCACTGGCTTCTCTTCCTAGAGGACCCAGGTTCAATTCCCAGCACCCACATGGCAGCCCTTAACTGTCTGTAATTCCAGTTCTAAAGGATTTGGCACTTCCGCACAGACATACATGCAGGCAAAACACCACACCACTACACACAAAATAAATTAAAAAAAAAAAAAAAAAAGGCTTTTCCCCAGAATTAAGGCCAACTTAATCAGCCTGAAGTTTGAGGTAACTATTGTTATGGGGTTTGTTTGGTTTTTTGAAAGTTTTTGTTTTTGTAAAGGTATGGTGGCACATGCCTTTAGTCTCAGCACTTGGGAGGCAGAGAAAGGATCTCTGAGTCCAACACCAACCTGATCTACAAAGCAAGCTCCAGCACAGCCAGGACTGCTCAGAGATACCCTGTCTCAAAAACAAGCAAACAATGAAGTGTTTTTATTTATGTGTATGTGTATCTGCGCGAATGTATACACTATGTGTACAAGTGCCCAGGGAAACCAGAAGGAAGTCTCAAATTCCTTGAAGTTGGCATTATGAACAACTATATATTGCTTTGAGGTGCTGGGAACCTATCTTGGGTGCTCTTAAGTGCTGAGTCATCTCTCCAATCCCTGTGGTAATTTTTCTTAACAAAGATTTATTCAAAGCATCTTTCAATGAAATACCATACACTCTTTAAAGACTTTCTTATTGTCAATTATTACATTTCTGTTCTAGGTGTTTTGGGTATTTTTTGTCTGTTTTCAGACATAATCTCACTCTGTAGCCCATACTGTCCTGGAATTCACAACAATCCTGCATTGGCCTTCCAAGTACTGCATTTACAGACATGATCACTCAACTTTTGTTTTGGTATAAATGTCTCTCTCTAATAATAACCTTTATAATTGAGCATACTTAAGCCTCCACATCTTAGAAATTTCTATGTATGCCTTTTCTCCCCCACTTCTTTTCTGTTCTTGGCTCCCTTTTTATTAAAACTATCAATTTAAATGTCCTTTTTGAAAACTTCTAATTCAAAGCCATTGTGTTACCTTTCCTAATGTCATTGGTAAAATACCTGAACAGTTTTACTTTCTGTTGCACATAAACAAAGTACTACTTTCCTTAAACAGACTTTGTTGTTCTTCATGCTCACAAAATAGTGGGAAAGCCTTCTGGGTTATGTTACAGCATTTCTTTGTTTAAAGCAGCCTTTCACTTTTTCTCAAACACTTGTCTCCACTACTGGGGGTGTAAAGCTTTTAAAGTTTGAAATTCCTTTACAAATTCTACCCCACAAAAGTCTCTTTCTGGTGATACTGAGGGTCAAACCCAGGGCCTTGCATTAGCCAAGTCAATAACCTAACCACTTAGCTATACACACACCTAATACCACTTTCCTATAAGAGTTTGTAGTCTCAGTGAGAAATAATGGCAAGAGCAATTTATACTAATCATTCAAAATATTATTTTTCTCTTTGGCCACTCACTCCAATTTTTCTATACTTTAAAACTTTTATGGATTTGTAGATAGATATGGATAGAGACGTGTGGAGCCACTTATTTCCAAGATTTGTTTCCCAAGAAAACTGTGGATGTGGCTTAGTTGGTAGATACGTGCTTAGCTCCCATCAAACCCTGGATTCAATCGCATTCAAGAAGCAGAGACAGAAGGACTGGAAATTCAATGTCAGGCCCAGAGATGTCTCAGTGTAAAAGCACTTGTTGCTCTTGCATAGGACCCAGTTTAGGTTCCCAGCATCCACATTATAGCTCACAAACACCTGTAACTTTAGTTCTGAGGAATAAAATGCCCTATTTTGATGTCTATGGGCATCTAGCACACAGTAAGTAACTACGTGCAAGCTACACTCATAAAGAAAAAAATCTTAAAACATTTTTATGAGAAGCCAATAATAACACCCTAAATAACACTTAAGATCTTTATCCAATTTAGTTCTATTCTTTGATTCCTTCTACAGACAATCTCATCTGTCTGAACCCCAATTTTTCTTTGATATTGCATGAAAATGCTACTAAATCATTTAGTTCTCAGTTCAAACTCTTAGTGCCTAGCCCAATAGCTGATGTTTGTATACCGCAACATGTCACAATTATAAGGATTCTTAAACCAAGATGGAGATGAGGATGGAGAGGATAAAAAAGGTCTGACTCACTCAGTCATGACTACTCCACTCCAAGAAAGGAGAATTAAAAAACACACTAAAAACTCTGCAGGGTATAGCTCCATGGTAGAGAACTTCTCTAACATGAACAAGGCACTGACTTTGATCTGCCAACACATACACTGAAAGTCTAGAGCCAGGAATGGTGGTGCATGCCCTTTAATTCTAGCACTTGGAAGGCAGAGACAGGCAGAGCTCTCTAAATTCAAGATCAGTCTGGTCTAATGGTCTACATACTGAGTTCCAGGCCAGCCAAGGCCACATACATCTGATACAAACAAATAAAACCAACAAAAAAGAAAGGTTGAGAAATCAGCTTCATGTTTGGGGTTTTTGTTTTGTTTTTTCCTTTTGAAAGGGTGTCTGGCTATGTAGCCCCAACTGGCCTAAAATTATGTCAGTCGGTCCTACTTCAGTTTTCCAAGTGATGAGATTACAAGAGTGTACCATCAACATTTGATGACTTACTAGTTATGGGTCTTTCCCCTCATTCACCTCCTTCGTTTTTTTTTTTTTTTTTTGGGACAGGATCACATGGATATATCAGACTGGCCTCCAACTCCTTTTATAAAGGATGACTTATCGGCTAGCTCTGCCTTAGTTATTAACCCATTTGTGTTAATCTATGTATGTCCACGTGTTCTTCTTACCGGGAGCCGGCTGCTGCATACTGCTCTCTCCAGACTCTCCATCTTAACCCTCCTTACTACTTCCTCTTTCCTCTTTGTTTCCTAGTCCCTCCTATCTTCCTTTCCTATTGGCCAACAGTGCTTTATTATTAACCAGTATGAGAAACATATACAGAATGACATCTCCCATCAGTTATGGGTCTTTCCCGCCCCTCATTCACCTCCTTCCTTTTTTTTCCTTTTTTTTTTGGGACAGGATCACATGGATATATCAGACTGGCCTCCAACTTCAAACTTCCGATCCTCCTGTTTAAGTGATTGGAATAACACATGTAGCCCACCGTGCCCTATTTATGCAGTCTGGGGGCTGAACCTGAAGCCTCGTGTGTGTAGGGCAAGCACTACACATCTCTAGCCCTTTCGGGGGTTCTGGTTGGTTGGTTTCCTTATGTTTGAGTCAGGATCTTACTCTGTAACCTAGGCTGTCCTTAAACAGTTTGCTGTAAGAAAGAAAGGGTTTCACTGGTAGACCTGGAACTCACTATATACATCAGATGAGCCTATAACATTTGGGGGGAACTATTTTGTTGTTGCTGCCTCAACCTCCCAAGAGCTGGGATTAGATATTTGCCACTCTGCCTGACTTTGCATTAAATACTTACTAGTTCCTATATGAACCAGGAGAATCCCAGGGAGGTGTCATGTGTCTATAATTGCAGCATTCAGGAGGCTGAGGCAGGAGGACTGCTTTGAATCCAAGTTGTTCTAAAAACTGAGATTGTCTTGTTTCCCAATACAAAAAGAGTTTCTTTATAAGTTTAGTAAATTTAAGTACAATATTTCACTAACCAAATCAAATCGACATGATTTTCCTTTTTCTCTTCTTTTACTAAAGAGAAAAATAATTTTTAGGGCATCAAAAAATGTGTTTCACCTCACAGTGGTGATGCATGCCTTCAAACTCAGCACTCAGAGGCAGGCGGATCTCTGTGAGTTCTAGGCCAGTCTGGTCTACAGATCGAATTCCAGGACAGGCTCCAAAGTCACACAGAGAAACCCTGTCTCAAAAAACAAAACAAAACAAAAGTTATTTCTATCAATAGTTTAAACTGACTACTAAACTTTACATTCCAAAATGGTAGGAAGTAGAGTAAGTCATGAGTGACTGAAATCCTGAGTAAGCTTGTGTTGTTGATATGAGCCAGCCATGCAAAATACCCTAGAGACTCAGACCCTTGGAGGAACAGTAAAGCCTTCCTCTTGTCTGAGTGTGGATGTTGATAGTGTGTGCAGAAAATGTTCACCATAGCTTTCTCCCCACAGATATTTATGGCCTGAACACTGCTCCTCTGTAAAGACTGTGCCTTCCCTCCCCATAAGCTAAATGTGTCTTGACCCAGGTGTGTCCCATAAATTCTGTATGTAATAACTATACTTCCTTGTTCAGGTGCGTACACTAGCCCTGCCCCTGTTCAACTCTATTCACACACTATGTTTCTGGTATGCTAAGGCATCTTTAGAGTTCAGGCTACAAAATCCCAGCATTTCTGTCTGAGTGTGCCCGTCTTTTCTTCATTCCCTTACCACCTCAGTCACATCCAAGTGTCTGGAAGTTGTACATAGCACAACATATTGGGGTTTTATTTTTTAAAACAATACTCACAACTAAAACTTCACAAATCCAATCTGTCAACTGAAAATATTACCTCCAGGTCTGTCTGCTTTTGTAGTTCTTGGATCATGGTCATTGTCTTGCTCAGAGTAGCACAAATACGGTTCTGGTTTTCTTTTTGCTCAATAGAAATTGGCTTAAAGCGTGCAGACAAAGCTTGATATCGAGACTTTATTGCTGACAATTCCTTTAAAATTGTAACTGCATTTTTCTACATCAGAAAAAATAAGGTTAATATGTTAAATTATATAGAGGTAAAAGTAGGCTTATTCTTAAAAATTAATATTTATAATACATTCTACCACATATTTGACCACTACTATCTTACTATACAACCCTGGTTGTATAAAACTTGCTATGTAGACCAAGTACTGGGATTAAAGGTTTACACCACCATACCCAGCTACTGAGGACCTACTTTTGTTTGTATACACACAAACACACACACCACCTATTATCATAAAGAAATATTTTTAAAATTTTAAAGGAAATTCTGACAGTGATATATGGATGAATCGTGTGTGTGTGTGTGTGTGTGTGTGTGTGTCTATGTGTGTATACAAGTGGAGGTAACAGAATGACTTTCAAGGGTAAATTCTCTCCTTCTGCTATGGGTTCAAGAATTTGAACTCAGGTTGTTAGTTTTGCTTAGAATGTCCATAATTTAGCCGGGTGTTGGTGGCGCATACCTTTAGTCCAAGCACTTGGGAGGCAGAGGCAGGTGGATCTCTGTGAGTTCCAGACTAGCCTGGTCTACAGAGCGAGTTCCAGACAGGCTTCAAAACAATACAGAAAAACCCTGTCTCAAAAGAAAAAAAAGAAAAACAAAAAAGAAAAAAAGGCCCATAATCTGGATGGTGTGAGAACATTCATAAATGTGTGAAATAAGCCAATCACAAACAAATACTGAATCTAGAATAGTAAAATTCACAGACTAACTCAGACTATACAGTGAAACTTTCAAAACTACAAAAAGGATCATTTTAAGGACAATTATTTTTGAACATTTTGATGTTTCTTTAAAATATCGTTGAGTTGCTTCTATGGCCAGTAAATTTCATGTCAAGCTGTTTTAAGAAAAGCGGCACTTGAGAGAAAGACACCATAACACAGGGTTCAAACAGAGGGGTTTTGTATTTAGGGAAAGGGAAAAGGAAGGGGGAAAGACTGGCCTCTGGAGACAGGAGCACCAGGAGAGAGGAAAAAGGAAAGAGAGAGAGAGAGAGACAGCTGGACAGAGCTCCAAGGACAGGCCTGAATACTAACAATAGATACATACCCACAGAAATGAAAATAAGTGGCACACCAGAACTCCTACATAAATGTTTATAGAGGTATTATTCACTGTAGCCTAAAGATTTGAACAGCCTCACCTAACTGCTGAGTGGATAAACAAAAATGGTACATACAGTATACAATAGATTCCTTTAAACAATAGAAAGGAATTAAGTGCTGTTCATGCTACAACATGGATGAACCTTGAAAACATACTAAGTGAAAAGACAACCACATAGTTACGCTACAATTTTTGTAACATGGACTGTAAATTAATTGATGCCATGAACTGGTGGGAGGGAGAATAGAGTGCGGGCCTGATGATCTGAATTCAATCACAGGAACCCATGTTGAGAACTGACTCTGAAAGCTGTCCTCTAACCTCCTCCTGTGGGCCAGGGAACACAGCCACACTCACACACACACAAAAACACACAAATGCACACGCATACATTAGTAATGTTTTGTTGTTGTTTTTTTTGGGGGGAGGGGTGTTCCAGACAGGGTTTCTCTGTGTAACAAGCCCTGGCTGTCCTGGAACTTGTCTTTTAGACAAGGCTGGCCTTGAACTCAGAGATCAATCTGCCTCTGCCTTCCAAGTGCTGGCATTAAAGGTGTACACCACTACCACCCAGTTTAATGATAAAAGTTTTTTTAATTATTATGGGAACTGCTATAGGACTGAAGTCTACTGAATTGTATACTTTTCTGCATTTATTTGTTTGAAGTTCAGGCTGGGCTTGAATTTGCAAAACCGAAGTTTTGTTTGAGATTGTGCTGTTGTTTAACTTTTGGGGGTTTTTTGTTTGTTTTTGTTTTGACAGTCTCACTATGTAGACCTAATTGCCCCAAACTCACATAAAGAGGATAGCTACAAGTTTATATAGCAATGCTCCTGACTGTCTGCCAAGTATTAGCTATTGTGTGTGAGTACTATCATGCCCAGCCTAAAATATTCTCTTTAATGTGTGGACTTTTTAAAATTCCAATGTACCATTTCCTGTCTACTGTCAAGGAGACTATCAACAGACAACACATGGAGATTGTTTTTACTTTCCCATGGACATGTATTCTTAAAAGGCATCAATTTATGGTATATAAACAGCTGTGATGCAGTGGGCATGCATCCATAATTCCTGCTACTCGGGGCTGAAGCAAGTGGATCTCACTTAAGCCCAGAAATCAAGACCAGTCTAAGTAACACAATGAGAGTCATTCTCAACAATAGATAAAGCAATGTAACCTTAAATACTGTTCTGGTTTGCTTTCTATTGCTGTAATAAAACATGGACCAAAACTATCTCTGGGAGGAAAGGCTTTATTTAGCTTACTCATTCCAATTAGTCCATCCTAAAAGGAAGTCCAGGGAGGAACTCAGGCAGGAATGGAAGCAGAGCCTATGGAGGAATGCTCCTTACTCACTTGCTTCTCATCATTTGTTCAGCCTGCTTTCTTATGCAACCCAGCCCCTGCCCAGGAGGGCCCTGCCTACAGTGAGCTGGGCCATACCCCATCAATCGTTATAAAAGAAAATGCTCACAGCCCAGTCTAATAAAGGTATTGAGTTCAAAGGGAGGGGAATCAGTAAAATTAACTACATAACTTTATTCAAAACTCAATGTTTAGCTGGGTAATGGTGGCACACGCCTTAAGTCCCAGCACTCGGGAGGCAGAGGCAGGCGGATCTCTGAGTTCAGAGACCAGCCTGGTCTACAAGAGCTAGTTCCAGGACAGCCTTCAAACCACAGAGAAATCCTGTCTCGAAAAACCAAAAAAAAAAAAAAAAAAAAAAAAAAAACTCAATGTTCATATATATAATTAAGCAAACTTACAGCATATCATTTTCCCCAGACTATCATAACTACTAACCCTTCTCCCTTCAAATTATGAACCACTATTCTAGAAATAGAAATACTGTCTTATCACTTCAGAGGCTTCATCCTATTTGGAAACTTTGAGTTCATTAACTGTTTGTAAAAGTTATCACATAAGACAGTGGTGGTGGTGAACGCCTTTAATCCCAGCATTCAGTGGCAGAGGCAGGTAGAGTTTGAGGCCTGGTCTACAGAGTGAGTTCCAGGGCAGCCAGGACAACATAAAGAAACCCTGCCTCAAAAAACAAAAGAAAAAAACATTTACATATATGCCATTCTATAAACATATGTTCCTATTTCTCTTGGAAAAATATAAAGTATAATCACTAGTATACTATGAGCAATCTTCCATCAAAACAAGATTTTTTGACTCTCCAAACTAACACTTAAAAGAAAAGCTTGGTACTTAATAATTGTTAGAATATATTACTACTAGAGATATTACCTGAAAATGTTTGTACAAAGCATTCTGTTAATAAGATTTACCTCCTCTGGACATAGTGATACACGCCTTCAATGCCACCACTCAGGAGGCAGAGGCAGGCAGATTTTTTGTGAAGCTGAGGTCAGGCTGGTCTACATACTGAGTTCCTGGGCAGCCAGGAATATTTAATGAGACCCTGCCCTGTCTTGAAAAAACAAAATAAAACAAAAATTTACTTATTACCTCTCCTGCTGAATCTGGGTGATTAGTCTTGATTTCATATTCCAGCCTATACTGAATGTAATCCAAATCAGAATCAGCTTTCTGGAACTAAAAATCAGTACAGATATATTATTAAACTAACAAAAATATATTAATAAGCATAATTACTCATTCTCACATTCTTGAAATATTTTAATACATGATACACATTCATTTTAAACTTGTAGTATATAAAGCAAACAATATCCATAATATTTATGCTCTATTAAAAACTTAAAACTAGGGCTGTGTTGCATGCCGAGACTCAGCAGGTGAAGATGCCTGCAATCAAGACTGATGATGTGAGTTCAATCCCAGGATCCACATAGTGGAAGGAAGGGCTTAAGCTTTCTTTTGCTGGTCTGACACTGGTTGCAGCAGAAAATGAGCTTGAAATCCTAATCCTCCAATTTATGTGCCTCCACTATCCTATTTTAGGTAGTGCCAGGGTCTGGTCCCAGGGCCTCCTGTATGCTTCACCTAGCTACATCCATCCCGAGTACCTACCTGTCAGAAGCAAAGATTTAATTTGAGGGCTGGAGTGGTTAAGAAAGAATCTAGGTTCATTCAGTTCTCAGCATCCATCTGTAACTCGTTTCAGAAGAGAAACAGAACCCTCTTTTGGCTTCCACTGGCTCCTGTATGCATGTGCTGTCTATAAACCCAAGCAAGCAAACACACATAAAAATCTTTTAAATTTATGTGTTTGTGTATGTCTATATATCTTTGCCACATGTGTGAAGGAGTCCACAGAGGCCCAGCCTAGGTGCTAAGAAGCACCCTTCAGTTCTCTGGGAGAATAGGAAACACCCTTAACCACTATGCTATCTCTCCAACCCCCAATATTAATATTACAGACCTTGGATTGAGAAAAATATATGTGCATATGTTTGTAGTTTACATGGATGGACATATGTACATGTATGCATGCATGCCAGAAGACTTTTAAGACATTAAAGATACATCTGTTGCAAATAAACACATGAAAAAGGTTCAATAGCATTAAGGTAACTATGAAAAAGGTTTTTTCCCTTTTGTTTTTTGGGTTTTTTTTTTTTTGCATTTTTTGAGACAGGGTTTCTCTGTGTAGCCCTGGCTATTCTGGAACTAGCTCCATAGGCAAGGCTGGGCCTCAAACTCTAAGATACGCCTGCCCCTGTCTTCCGAGTGCTGGGATTAAGGTGTGTGCTACCACTAACCAGCTGATTTTAGCAATTTCTTACAAAATCAAACATATAGCCAGGCAGTGGTGGTGCACACCTTTAATCCCAGCATTTGGGAGGCAGAAGCAGGTGTATCTCAGAGTTCCAGGCCAGCCTGGTCTACGGAGGGAGTTGCTGGACAGCCAGAGCCACACAGAGAAACCCTGTCTCTGGAAAAAAACAAAAAAACAAAATTCACAGTACCCAGTAATCCCATTTCTCAGCATTTACACAAAAGAAATAAGAAATTAAGTCCACACAAAATTACTCAATGCTTGCAACAATTTTATTCAACAAGCAAAGCCTGGAAATGACCCAACAGTTTGTCACACTTTATACAACGGAATACTACTCAGCAATAAAAGTGAGTCAATTATCAATGAATTCAACAAAGATAAAATGACAAAAGCAGTTACAGTAAGTGCAAAAAGGCAAACATAAAGACCAAATAATGTATTAGCCCATTCATAAGAAATTTTTAGAAAAAAACTATTATTTGAGAAGAAACTGCAGACAGGTACAAAGGAACTTTTCAATATAATGAAAATGGTTTATATCTAGTAGTAGAGGTAGTTTCATGATTGTATACATTACCAAAACTCATCAAAGTGTACACCTGAAATTTAGAATTTTACTAATTATTAAGATGTAATTAAGCATTACCAAAAAATGATTTATATTTTATAATCATAATAATCAAACATTTTTAAGTTTTAAAGATTTTATTATTGTGTATGTATCAATGTGTGACTTTGCATCTGTGGCCTACAGAGGCCAGGAGATGGCATCAAATCCCCTGGAGCTGGAATTACAAGTGGCTATTAATGTGGACACTGGGAAGAGAACTCAAATCCTCTGTCTTGTTAACTGCTGAACCATCTCTTTAGTTCCCTTCCTAAGTTTTAAATCGAAGCATTTCCTATATAATACCAAAATTAATACTAAGACTTAATGTGTTACCAAAGTAGTATTACCATAGTGTTACCATGAGACTGTTTATCACTTTCCAATTCATACAATCTAATGAGACCTAAGAGTTGTCAGAACACATCCATGTCTGTTACAAAAGGAAGCAAATTACAAAGCACTATTCATTCAGACAAGCCATGATTTTAAACATACAGTAATGAATTTATTCAGTGCAATACAGTCATGAATTTATTCAAATGATGACTTTTTCAAAATATACATGTAACAAAATTAGTTTTCAGCACTGAAAGTTAGAGAAAATGTATCCCAAATACTAAAGATGTAAGACAAGAACCAAAAAAGGTGTGTGACCTGCTTTCGGATGCTTTGACAATACTATTGCACTGCTAGCTGTAAAGTACAGTAGTGCAATAAAGTCAGAGCATTCGCTAGCAGTAGTGAGCAGGAAAGGATTGCAAGTGTCAGTGTGCAAAGACTTTAAAACTGAGTTGCTATTAATGGTTAGAAGACATCCAAAACCTAAAAACATTTATACCAAGGTTTATTTTTTGAAGAGCAAAACACTTAAAGCCCAAGTGACTGGTTTTAGATAACTAACCTGTAAGTAGCAGCATTCAAACACAAACACGAAAAGATGTAAAGGAATTCTGTAATATGTCCTAAGCCTTTAGTAATTAACATGGACATCAAATGAATGAAAAAAATATTTCCGTTCTCTACTGGAACGTTATGTTGGCTAACTCCTCTTCCAAAGCAACTGTTAACCTACCACAGAAAGCAAGTTCTTTGAATAATTACTTCAAAGAAAACAAATCATCTGGAGAGATGATTCAGTGGTTAAAAACACTTGTTCCCGTAGAAGTCCTGGGTTCGATTCCTAGCACCCACTTGGTGGCTCAGAATCATCCCTAACAGTTCCAAGGGATCCAATGCCCACTTCTGACCTCCTTGGTCACCAGGCACACCTGTGGTGCACAAACATACAAACTTGCAGGCAGAACACTCATAATCATAAAAAAAGAGAGAGAGAAAACAAATGACTATATACCCAATTTATCTCTATGGAATCTAATACACGTATACATCCACGTACATACACGCACATATACACATACATAGAGACACACACAGCACTTAAATTTTGTGCCACTTTAACTCCAGAGTTTATTGAGGCTAATACAAAAAGGAAAAAGGTTACCAGGGAACTGATATATTCTTAGCAGGACATTAACTCAACCTAACCTAATACTAGGTAGGCAGGAAGATGTTTGCTATTTCAGCTTAACTCTTAAAATGTCCTATGTAATGAAGAAAAGCATATCCATTCCCTTCAAACTCAGAAATATCGAGAAAATAATGAGAGGGGTAAAATAAGTTTCCTTAAAAGTCAAATGTAAGGGCTAGAGAGATGGTTCAGTGGTCAAGAACATTGGCTGCTCTTCCAGAGGTCCTGAGTTAATTCCCAGCAACCACATGATGGCTCACAACCATCTAAAAGATCAGGTGTCCTCTTCAGGCCTGCAGGCAGAACACTGTATACATAATAAATATGTGTCTTTTTTTAAAAAAAAAGGTCAAATGTAAACCAAGAAACAGAATCCAAGTATCATATTACACTAGCTTTTGTGAACAGACCCTAGGAATATCACAAAGGGAGGACAGGAGCCAATTACCACTCAATCAGTAACTGAAGGGAACAAAGATTACCCTACAATGAGCTTATTCCACCATTAGTAATGTTGATTGATGTAAAAATATATTCCCATTATCTTCACTGACCTTCCTTTAAGTGGTCCAGTTCAGCTACATAGACAGATTAAACCTACTAAAAAATGCAATCAGAACAATTGGAACATAGGATACTTATCCTCAGATCCTGGGCCACAAAAATCAAATTTGTGATTTAACTCTGCTAGCCAAGTTTTTAAAAGGCAAATTTAATTTTCTGAATTAGATGTTAACACAAGAAAAATATGAAAAATAAACCCATTCAGATTAGATTTTTAACGGTGTTAGGCTAACGATTGTCTTTGTCTTTACAATGTCATGCTCTCCTATTATATATCCAAGAGCTCCTTATCAAATCTTTTATGTAAAGACTTTTACATCATTTACCTTTGACTTAGAAACAGCAATGACAACAGATAACATTTTTTTTCTTCTAAGAACATGGTACATTTGAAGATGAGATGTCTTTTGCTAAGGTCAATAAAAAGCTAAAGTTAATGTTGAAAATTATGATAAAAAAGAATTTGTTTTTTTAAACCCTTGATTATGAAAATTATAACTTGGAAAATTTAAATGCTACCATGAATGTATTTCAGGAAATGCCACAAATGGAACTTTTAAAGCTACCCCATAATTTATACAATATCTAAAATGGTTAAAGTTTATCAACCACATATCTTCCAAATTTACTTTTTGCAGGATATTTATTTGTGTTTTCCTTAAGATAATCTGTTCAATATTTTTTAAAAGTCTGAGTATTGATTATACTGGAAAGGCTAAATAAAGCTTAGAAATTGATCAACCAACTAAAGAAAATAACCTGTTAAAAACATAATTAGTCTCTAACAAGGCAAAACTATCTCCACCTAAACTCCAAAGGAAGGACTTCATAACGTGGGAAAGCAACAAAAGAATTTACGTGTCTGTTTACAGACTCTAACCACAATATTTAATGTTCTGTGTGTTTTAATATGCTAATAATACCACACACATACCACACAAAAAAACCCTGTAAGTCAAATATTCATTTTTCAAGATTTGGAAAGCTGCACAAAATTCTCCCCACCCTTCCCCCACGTCCCCAAACTCCCTCCACAAAGAAAGTTTAAAATACCATGTTAAAATAAATGAAAGCCCTCTAATAAAAAAGTATGTGAAACACTTGAATTAATTAACGGAAGGGAAAAGAAATGGAGGCCTCACACTTTCTAGAGTGGGAATGGGGTGGGGGTGGAGGTGGTACTCCCTATCTTCCAGGATCACCCCAAAGTCCCTCCCAAGGCAGAAGTTACAAACTAAAGGCATTCTTTGGAGAGATTAGCACACACACATGGGTACCTATGCAAAGGGAAGGACAGATTACGGGCGAAGAAATAAGTGTTTTACTTTTAAATATCAATCTTGTTTTTTTTTAAAAGGGGGGGTGGCTCAATGATTCCTTCACATTCTGTATTTCTCAGGAAGCTATTCCAATATGGAAGAAAAGTGATCATGCAAAAGAAGACAGAACAAGGGAACTAAAAAAGGCGCGGCGATCAAGCGGCCAGTGCAAAGATGGGAGGGCGAGAATAAAGAGGGGTAAAGGCGAAACCTTCCCCGAGAAAACTAGAAGGCCCCTAGGCAGGCCACGCCACACGCGCCAGCGTCCACCGAGGTCCTTCGTCCCGAGCTCTACTTGCACAGAGGAAAGAAAGTGGGCAGGAAAAGCAACCCGCCTGGCCTGGCGCCGTGCCGCACGCGCGCTCCTGAAAGGAGCTCCGGGCTCGGTGCCCGCGGCTCGCTCCTCTCCCTCGCCACCTCCGAGCTGCACGGAGCCGGCTCAGCGGGATCGCGGAGAAGTTTCTCTTGCAAGTCTAGCGTCCTCTTTCAGACCGTCCCAGCTCGCCTGCGAGGTGGTGAAGAGTGGAGCCCGAATTTCGGCGCCCCTGGACTTCTGCCCCACCTCATCCTCCATCGCCCCTTTCCGGGAAACGTGAACGACCTCTCTCCTCCGCAGAGCTTTTAAAAGCCGTTCCAGTCACATTTGGGGGAGAAAGGTGGAAATGCATGAGACGGCGTCTGTACCGGGAGCAGGGGGAGGGGAAAGCAAGGACCAGGGAATTACAAAGGCCCACACCCTCCACATCTCCCGCCATTTCCCTCACGAGTTCCCCGGATGTAACCCCTTCCCCCGCGGCGGTTAAGAGACCACGGCGGCCGTGGTTCGCTTCGATGCAAGAGGAGGGAACTCGATTCAGATCCCAGACTCCACCATCCAGAGTTTCGGTGGCTCCAAATTGCGCCTTACCTCCTAGGCCTTTGGTGGAGCAAACAAATTACCCTGTAGGTTTCATTCACTCTCCACTCACCATCAGTTCCAGCTTATCGACCTCCGCCTCCATGTTGAATAGTTGACATTCCTCAGACCGCGGAGGCGCTTAAGCTGCAAGCCCTCCTAGCACTGAGGGTCTCTATTGGACAGCTGTCACTCAACATCTCGCGCTCATTGGCTCGTCCGTTCCGCCGGCGCCCGCCCATTGGCGATTGGGTAACGCCCCTCCCTATGAAACACACTTTCCTGTTGGGCAAAGACACAAAACGCCGTAGGCGGATTGGCTGCTGAATGTGTGATTATTCCCATTGGCTGCCTACTGTTCTCCACTTTCAATTTCATACTTGGGAAAGAGTTTACGATTGGTGTACTCCGAAGCAGCAGTAGCCAATGACATAAGAGCTTCCACTGCCGGCCTAGGCGTCGTGACACACCTTCTTTTCTCTCCGGCTTCCCAGCCCCTTCTCGCCCGCCTTCCCTTATTCATACCAGAAGCGCCTCAGTTCCGATTGGCCAGGATGTGATGCGGTCTCAGCCAATAGTAATCCAGTTTGTGCTTGGAGCCTCTCAGGACAACGAACCCTGCAGAGACCACGTCTACGATTGGTCACTCCTCGATGAGGATTTAATTTTGAATTTTTCTTTATGGTTTGGAAGAGGCTCTCCGGCCCGAACTTCATCTAATCCTCAGGCTTTTAGACTAGTAAGTGCAGTGACGATTCTTTCTTTGTTACCTGGTCCCTTCTTACCTTGCTCGGACTGTTGATGATTGGGTTCTTATGATTGAAGGTGGTAGGTCTTGCGCTAGGCTGGGAGGGAAAGAAAAGGTTTGGAGCAGGACAGCAGCTCCGCTAGCAATATCTGAGCCACATTTTTATATAACACTCTGCAATATATGTTTTGAAGCAGTTGCTTTTTGCTCAGTCTTTTTCGTTACTATTTTTAAGTGGACCCACCGACTAGTGACTGGCTTCTTTGGCCGCTAGTGACAATATAGGCGTCCATTCAAATTTACTGGATAAGAATATTTAACCGATTGCTCTGACCCACGATTCTTCAGCACATTTAGGCTTGTGGAGGAATGTTTTGTTTTTGTTTTCGTTTTTGTTTTTTTGTTTTGTTTTGTTTTTTGACAGGTTCTTTGATGCAGAGTTACTTCTCACATCGATTTAAAAAACTATACCCTTTTATTATATGTCAGTACTGTGCTGGGTGACATTAAAAACCCGTGGTCACTCTAAGAAGGACACAAGAATGAACCAGGGGTCGGGTGAAAGAAGTATTTAACAATAAAACAAAATTAACTATAGGAAAATGGCAGTAATCAAGGTGAAACAACTGAATTGGTAATGGAAATTTAATTTGGCTAGAGGTGATTTATGTGGGTGTAAAAATGTGTTTTAGAACGTTGGTGATGAAATGGCAACTGTCATTTCCGCTGCTGCCTCAGCTTTAGAAGTGTCCCCAGCAAAAAAGCTTTTCATGTAACTGGTGGAGTTTTAACAGAAGCAGCAGTGTCAACTCATGCCGAAGACTAATTAGTGTTCCGAGACAGGCTTTTGTGACCCAAGTTGGCAAAGGATTGGCTGGAGCAAGGGATGACCCTGAACTCCAAACCCCCTGCTTCCACCTCTGGTGTTCTGGGATTTCAGGACCGGACCGTGCCAACACGACAGTTGATGTGAAACTGGGATTAAACTAAGGGTGTCTTTTATGTGAGGTCAGCCCTTCTCCAATTGAGCTAGATTCTGTTATTTGTTGAATCTTCATACTTGGAAAGTTTCGGTTTTTTGGGGTTTTTTTGTTTTGTTTTGTTTTTGTTGTTGTTGTTGTTTTTTTGGTTTGTTTTTTTTTATGCACCCTTAAACTACAAAGATAGGACCTGTGCCAGACAATGGTGGTGCACACCTTTAATCTTAGCACTCAGGAGGCAGAAGCAGGCGTCTCTCTGAGTTCAAGGCCAGCCAAGTCTACGGAGTGAGTTTCAGGACAGGCTCCAAAGCAATACAGAGGGGAAAAAAAAGATATGATCTGGAATAACTAGCACACCAACAACAACAACAACACCAACAACACATACAGAGAGAGAGAAAGAGAGATGTTTACCACTCAGTTGTGCTAAACTTAGAGGATATTGCTTAAGTAAAATGAGAATCATTGCTAATACTAGAAAGTGATGATATCCTTCATTCCTTTATTGAGTAAAACATATAATGTAGCTGGGAGGTGGTACCATGCACCTATTATCCCAGTCTGATCCTCAAAGCTAGTTCCAGGACAGCCAGGACTGCTACAAACCCTGTCTTGAACAAACAAAACAAACAAACAAAAAAACATGATATGCTTGCTATGTTGTAAGGCAAAGAAATAGATGAATCAAATGTAGGCGGGTAAGAAATCATACAACTATAACCCTAACGTTTAGAAGATGAAGGCAGAAAGATCAGGAGTTTGAAGTCATCCTGGGCTACATCTAGTTTGAGGTCAGTCATGATTTTGTAAGCTTTGTGTGCCTATAATCCTAGCATATAGGAGGCTAAGGCAGGAGGGTCTTGGGTTCCTGTCCATCTTGTGTTACATAACAAGACCCTGTCTCAAAAATAAAATAAAATGCATCTTATAAATTTGACAGTCCAATAAATGTTTTTACTCTCTTCTCTATTACCCTTTGGCATGAGGATTAGCCTCTGGAACTACAGAGGCTACTGATACCAAGCACTTCCCAGTTTTTATAACCTGTAAAGGGAAGTGAGGAGGTATTCTGATAATCTGAATGCTGGGCAGTATATGCAAATATCTATTTCCAAAAGGTTACCAAGTAAACAGAAGTGGAATTAACTTGTCAGGCAACAGGCTCCCACTAGATAGCTGTAACTGGCTTGGAAGAAGCTATTAGAGCAGTTTGGCCTTGAACTCACATAGATCCACCTGCCTATGCACAGCACCACTCAGTTAATGTGTGTTTCAAAGGCTGATGTTTCCTACTCAAATCTAAGTTTGAGGCAGACTATTTTCAAGTCTGCTGCTTGAATAACAGCATCTTTGTTCCTCAGGGATCAGCAACTAAAATTAGCAATGCCCTTTTGGAGCTTCAGATCAAACCAACCCAGACTTTTGTTGTTGTTGTTCAAAAAACGATATATACTACAGCATAAATATATTAAATAGTATCTTCAGTGCTTCAAAATAACAGTATTAAACAGGCCTTTGATTTTGGCTAATTGTATGTAGCCTATTTAAGTTACTATTGCCCCATAGTCTTTTAGAAAAATTTATGGACTCTGAAGACTTACAGGTCTGTGTGTTTATACTTTATTGTATTACATTAGGCAGATATCTAATCTAACCCTCAGCTTATTTTTGTATAAAACTGGGACTAGACTCCTCCTTGTCAGTTGAGGAGACTAAAGATTAACAGAGTAAAAGTAGAATGTACCCCACATTTAAGGGAGTAATTTTATAAATGATCCTTCCCACTGAGATATCTGCCTATCATAGTAGATACTCATTATATGTTGCTGAATCACAAATCTATCTTTTTAACATCAAACCATAATCCACTACCCTTTTCCTATTATAAGGAAAGGAATCTCTAAGTACCATAGCCAGTTGGTAAAGTGTTTTCCTGGTGCACAGAAAGCCTCGCCTTGGATCTCCAGCACTACATAAACTCATTTTGATATCGCCAGTCTCAAGGTAATTCCAGCAGTCAGGTAGAGGCAGGAGGCATTCTTAGCTATATAGGGAATTTGAAGGACAGCTTGGGACGCATAGGATCTTGTCTCAAAATGACTTTTTTAAAAAGGAAGTACTAGAGCATTTGCTTAGGCAAGTGCAAAGCCCTGGGTTTGATCTCCAGCTGGAAAAGAGAGGTTGCAGAGACTAAAGAGAAATTCATTTGACTTAATAAATACAACAAAATCAGAGTGAAAGACTAATGTAAATTCAAAGGAAACTCCTCAGAGACATTTTCAATCTGAGTTTACATTTTCGTCCTTGTGAATGCTGGTGATGTTTTCTTCTCTCTGGTTTTGTTTTGTTTTGGTGTTTTGAGACATGTACCCAGACTGCCCTTGAACTCACTAGATAACTGAAACTATCCTTATCTGCCTGCCTTGTGGTGAGATTACAGGTATATAAATTTCCTATATCATATCATTGAACTATACACTGAAGGCTTTTTGGGTTTTTTTTTTTTGTTTGTTTGTTTGTTTGTTTGTTTTTACTTTTTGGTTTTCTTGAGACAGGGTTTCTCTGTTGCTTTGGAGCCTGACCTGGAACTAGCTCTGTAGACCTCAAACTAATAGAGATCCACCTGCCTCTGTCTCCCAAGTGCTGGGATTAAAGGCATGTGCCACCAACACCCAGCATGGACTGAAGGTTTATACATTTTCTATATGTATTCCTTTTTCTTTAATAAAACATATGTTTCAGGTACTAAAGAAATAACTCTGAGGGTTAAGAGTACTAACTGCTCTTCTAGAATACCTAGGTTCAGTTCCCAGCTGAACATGGCAGCTCACAGCCATCTATAACTCTAGTTTCTAGGAGACATGATGCCCTCCTCTGGCCTCAGAAGGTACCAGGCATACAAATGGTGCAAAAGACAGATACAAAACACCCGTATTCATAATTTTTTTTTTAACTTCAAATTTTTCTCTACAGAAACATGCCTAAGTTCAAACAGCGAAGAAGAAAGCTAAGAGCCAAAGCCAAACGATTCTTTAAGAAAAAAGAAGCCTCCCGGGTTCAGCCTAAGCTCTTGACATCTCCCCCTCCACCACCCACACCAGAAAGGTAAGGTGTGACAGAAGCCAAAAAAATTTGTATGGTTGCCAGTTCACCCCATAATAACATAGAACACCCACTCAAATTTGAATTCCATCCTCTAATAAATCATTGTTAGATATGTCCCATGGAAAATTTGAGATATGCTTATACCAAAATTATTGCTGGCCACAGTAGCTCATGTTAACTGTAATCCCATGACTCAGGAGGATGAGGCAGGAGAATTGCTGAGAGTTGAAGATTGTCTTGAGCTACATAGTGAGTTCCAGGCCAGCCTGGACTATGGAGGGAGACCCTCTCTCAAAAAAACAAGACAAAGAAAAGGAGCAGGGCATGGTGGCACAAATCTTAAATGGCATCACTTTGGAGGCAATGGCAG